GCCGCCATGTGATTGACTGATTAGAAATTTAGTGTTAACGAGCAGTTGGACAGGTGTACCTAATAAAGTGGCCGGTGAGTGTATATTTACAGTTCCCCCTTAAGAGGGGGGTACTGTCATGATTCACATCTGCTCATAGCTTTTCTCCCTCTGCCACACACATAACTCTGCTGTAATCATACCTGTTCCACCTCGTACTTAAGACCCATCAGACTCATGTCCCGTGCCAGATTAATGAATGCCTTTGCCTGTAGATGTTTAACATTCATCACATGCCTCRTCTTGATCTYTGTGCGTTSACACTGTTTTTGCCCCACAGATTTTTGTCACTCACTTTGCCCTTGTCTGCACTGTCTTCAGCCTCTGACTCCCGGAAACAGACCTGTTCTGGACCCTGGATCCCAAGTTAAGTCTGTAGCCTGGTTTTGTTTGCTGATCTCTGCTCTCCTGTGTATGACCCCAGCCTGCCCCACGGACTATACTTCCACCTCACTCACTCCCTTTCTCATAGAGAAAAGAGACTCTGCTCCTGTTCACAGTGTAATTAACGCTGACATCATCAACACTGGACATCGCAGGAACTCTGATGCTCTCACAGAGCTGACTGTGATCACTCCACTTTCCAACAAAAGGTTAATGGCTTATTTTAGAAACTTTCAGATTCTCTTCTGTCTCATCACAGCCATTAACCAATATCCTTGCTTTTACAGTTTCCTGAACACTGTTATCTGCGGGTTCTTGACTTCCACCAGCAATATTATCATTTCAATAAACATGCTAAATTGCTTCCTGTGTGAATATTCAATATTCAAATTCAAATTCTCTTCCAGTTTTCTGTCATCTGTCCAATATCCACAAGTTTCTGTAAAAGTGTATGACAGACTGCTAGTCCTGTCCCCCGGTTCCATATTTCCARTTCATTCATTCAGGGAGTTATGATAACAACAAAACCAGTTTGTTTTTGCTTTAACCGGCAGCTTGAGCAGTTCAATCTTGAGTTCAGGTTCAACTTRTGTTTTGTCGGCTGCCACAACAATTGAAGAAAACTGAGAAACGCTATAGAAACATTTTGCCTGGAACAAGAGGTAGAAAAAGGCATGTCAATGTCCAGCGCCCTATACACTGCATCTTATGCTGACGAAGGAGGATTGTAACATGGCTGGCAGATTTAAATCTCAAAAACCCATCAAAAACAGTTTGTTTGCTCTTTTCATTTTATCAACAAAAACCCCACAAATATACACCCCGATCCAGAGCTCTATTTGGGCTAAGATTGGCCACCAAAGGCTGCTCGTTGGGACCACTGTGAGTCAGACAGCTTCCAGCCATGTCAACTAAAACCCTGAATCTGTACCCGTTGAGTAAAATTGTAAATGTTGTGTGTCCCCGTTTCACTATTTTATTGTGCAGTTCTTTGCTTTTATTAAATTAAAGCCTACGGTGAATGGCKTTAGCATCAGCACTAGCTACAGTTAGCCTAGTGCAGAGCTCTCAAGTCACAAGAGCATGAGACACACACATTTTCCTGTCTTCACACTACACATGCCACACATGACATTCCTCGCGCTGAAAAATACAGCCAGGGGCGGGCCTGTGGGCAGCTGAGGGAAATGAAGCTGTTTTTTCAAAATGTTTTGTTTGTTTTTATTCCTGCCGTGTGTTCAAAATGGAGTTAACTCCAATCAGTCTTTACAGATGCATCTTTGTGGCCGCTGACTGATTCAAACTAATAGTGTTTCACAGTCTGACCAATCAGAATGTGTATTGTTAGTTTTGGGGCGTGTACTGTGATGACTGACTGACAGCTGCCAACACGTCAGGTCAGGAAGAGGTTTGTGAGCGGTGCTCATTAAAGTGAATAAACTATTTGTCAGAACAAGTTTCAATAAGAATATGAAGCTGCTGAAGTTGTAGGAGAAAACAGGACAGTTGTGTCTAAATTTGATCAGCTGGCGCGGGAGCACGCTGCTTGCTACRTGTTTTATTTTGATTAGCTTTTTCTGCTGCTTTAGTTTTTGGAATAAAACAATATTATCACTAAAATATTTTTGTATGACCAGCATTAGAGCAAAGATATGTCTTCATTCAACCGTTTATTTTTTGCCCAATGCTGGTAATGTTCTTTCTGTAAAACTGACAAATGTTTGTGGTTAGTTGCAAATTTGAATCTTACACACAATAAGAAATTGTTTCATTGATTTAGATTACCTAAAAATTATTCAATTTGAAACTGGACTATGACATAATTGTGCTTTGATGAATGCATTTAATGATCAAATATACATACAGTATAAATGATAGGTTTTAATTTGATTTTATTTGTCTGTATTATTACAAATCATGTGGGTTTTTAATGTTCAAGGAGAGACAGCAAAGTTCATAAGTTCTAATTTTCAAATTTAATGCCATGTGACTGAGCTTAAAGTGATCAAACTTTTAAAGCTTGACAATGAATGATGTTGTATTCAAAAGTTTGATACTTTAAAACTATAACATTGAAGCAATGGTATTGTTTATTGTGCAGACAGGTTATGTTGATTTATTTGGTTAAATTGTATATCTGTGTGGGGAGCCAGGGATGGCTCTAGAGATTTGGGGGCCCTAATCAGAAAATGTATCGGGGGCCCAACTTTGACATAAGTAGACAGTAGAAGATACATAAAACCAAATGCTGCATAAACTTTGTGCATAAAATYATACCTGTGTGATCACAGTGTACTATAGTTCACTGCACACTCACTAAATGCTGTATGAGTGTGTGGAGGGATGAATGAGAACAGATTGGGTTGTGAAGTGCTTTGAGTAGCCTGGTTGGTTAGAAATGTGTAAATACAGTCCATGTATYATCTGAATCCAAGCACTAAATCATGAAATTATTTCATTAAGYTTRTTTGCAGTTCTAAACATTTTTAATGTTTTTACTCACTTTTTTCTCTTCAWTGAGATGCATCTCTCCTACAGCACAATTACTGRCAAATGTCCAAATACATGTCTTTGGAATGGACAAGGTAGTTGATGTCAGTAGCTAACATCGAGACATAGCTCCACGTCATCCAGTCTGAGCAGTGACGGGTGAGCCACTGTTAAAGAATTCTCCTCACCGCCAATTAAAAACATCCTTACAGTATATACTGTA